CACACAAAACCCTAGCTGACTTTCTACGGTGAGGGGCACTCGTGGTGCAAACGCAGCAGCCCTCGCGTGCCTCTGCAAGGGTACTTTGGAAAGTGCTCCAAATACTTTGAGAGGGTTGTCAAAAAGTTGGAACGAAGTGGAGCAAAGTTTTCGCGCCCAACTTCGTTCCAAATATTTTTGAAAAAAATGGACAAACGCCTACATACAGGTTCCATTTTTTGACACTTTCAAAATTTTTGACAAAAAGTCGGTCCGTTTAAAACGGCCCATAGATACACTACGTATCCACTGGGCTAGCAGTCCTCTGAGCTACACAGTCAGCGCTGACTGTTTAGCTCAGTGGGTAGTCTATCTATGTTGTATATCTAAAACCTTTCACCGTTCAAGACCGACGACTCTTCCCGGACTTTCCCTTTCAATTTAGGTCTAGCGCCTCCTCTGTGGTTTAACCGTGGAGAAGGTGGGACTCGAAGCAACGGGAGAGATCACAAGATTCAAGACCGACGATTAGGTCTACCTCTACCCTCGAAGCATCACGTTTTTAGCCAATGCGGCCAATGGACGTGAAAGAGAACGGAAGCCTGGGTGCGATTGACTACTGAGCTGGTACCGTGCGGTGAGCTAGTAGAGTAGGCTATGAGTGCTAACTTTCATTCCGATGCCTGGAGAGTTTGGGCGAGGCCCATGGACATCAATTATTGCTACGAAGTTTTAGGCAGGTCTTCACGCCACACACCACCGCGGTGGACAAGTCTCAAACGGTCTTGCCCGATTGTGTCTGAAACGAAACTCCAGTGAGTATACCCGTCGAAATCTACCTTCAATTCATGTGCGTACCCATTACGTCTGTTTGGTGACCCGCTCGTGCCCCAAATGTACCTACAAACATCCGTTGGTTTCATGTGGTACGGGATGCGACCTGGATCACCCGTCTTGTCGTAAATCTTGCCTGGTGTGTTGGTTGAACGTCGTGCACGGTTTGGAAGGTGAACGACAACACATTCAAACAAGAGGTCAGAAAAAAACGACGCGTCGACTCGTTTATGCGGCCATCTTGTAGGCGACACAAACAGCGCGTCCGTTCAGTCAGGGTTTTGGTTGGAGGATCGCACGTGGTCCGTTTGATTTGCCATTATTAGCGTTGTAATGTGTGCAACTAACACTACCACGAAGAACGCGGAGGCCTTGGAGTTCAGAGCAGTGGGTGCGTGCGTGAGTGAGTGAGTGAACGAGTGAGTGAGTGAGTGAGTGAGTGAGCAAATCAAAGTTTGTCCCGCCCACGACGAAAGCCAGCCGGGGTTTTAGAGAGGAAACTCTCCCCGTCGTTCCCCAGCCGTTGACTGGAGGGTCGCAAAACACGTTCCTAGGTACACATGGGACACCTGACCTGTGGGTGACCATCAAGTCTGGTCGCCGAGCTAGAAACAAAGGATGTTAAGTCTCCCGTAATTTCCCCGCCGAACACCTCCTCTTGCGGCCTTTCCATGTACTGCCGTTGCTTTCGCTAGAAACACGCGCTGCTTCGTACCGCCGTGATCACCAGTCACTCTATGTCTTGCTCGAGCCATTGGTATGCTCGCCCGACCCTTTGCCGTTGCTGCTCTCCCCAGAAAACACACACGCCTACCTACCCGGCCGACTTCCCCTTGTTTCCATCTCGCTTCTCACCCCCCCCTCCCGCATAGGTTGTTTACTTGTCATATCAGGACCGTTCCGGTCATACCTCCAAAATTCACATTCCAACACCCATGTATTATATCCAAAACTGACGACGCTGACCTGGGGTGAGGAAAACCTACGCAGAACGCTTCGAGATAAAACTTGACAACAAATGACGTGTGCGAGCGAGCTTCGACACCGCCTCTAACGCTATCCGACAAATAAATAAATTGAAACGTAAGGTGAATGCCGTAAATGGGTAGGGCCCAAATATCGTAGACGAGCAAGGTTGCTGAGACTAACTTTGCTTGGTTCTGGGCCTTGCTCTAGTTGAGTGGCCGGGGGGGGAGGGGTGCACCTCCCCGCTCCTAAATCTTCGCCGCATGTAACTGGTGCGACACGATCTCCGTAGCCACGATACAGATGCTCCCAAGACCGTCCTGCCGACTACACCAATCAAATTCTCGGGGCTCTACCGCAAGGTACCTGCCTGTCGCGGCACCAGCAACAACACCGTTATACTAAAGGACGCCAATATCCACAACCAATATCATCACAACAATAGGATTACCCTTTTCTGCTAGAAAAGGCCAACGAAAGAAAAATCATTGTTTTCCTTTCCTTTCAGCCCCATGATTACAGCAAACTGCACTGAAGAGAGCTTCACCCACAGTGCTACAGAACACGACGCAAAATACAAGTGCTCTCTAGATGTGCCGTACGTACCCGCCCGAATGTTGCAATCACGGACTTGGGGGTCCCAAAGGGAGGATTCCAGCTCAAGCAAAACGTTACCCCAGCGATAACAGGGTTCGCCCCGGCGGGGACCCTGTAATGTAAAAAGCAATCATTAATAGACCGCCGACACTTCCCCCCGAATATGCCCATATGCAAGTACATGTGTATGTGAGCACCGACGGGCCATGTATTTAAACGTCTGCTCGCCTTTGCTAGCTCCAGGCAACCACCCAGTTGTTGAATTTTTTCCATGCCTGCAATGAAGGCCAGGCGTGTTGGTGAAGGTCGCGAAGCACGAGGGGTCAGGGCGCCGCGAAGGGTGGAGGGTTTACTCATTAACGTGCATGCCGCAGCCTTTCGATCACTGACCTCGCGCCGGGGCGGGGTAATAAGGCACGAACGCCCGTGATAGGACTAGTCCTAGTTCTAGTTGTTGGGATAACTCAAGGTCGGCGACTAGTCACACTTCGTGCAGTGTACATTTTCTGTTCCACTCCGAAGTACTTCTTCACTCAACGGGGGTCATGCAGACCAGACCGGATGAATGGGTGCACTCGCCTGGCCTCTTAGGTTTCTGTGGGGGCACAAATGTGAAGTTTGACCCGAAGCCCCCGCACGTCGTCAGGGGCAACAAACGCCGTCGGGAGTCAGCATAGGCCCTATCAGGAGCGCACCCCTTACGATCGCGTGTTTCGTGGAACCGCTATCTCCCATTTGCAGGCCGTGCAATCTACAACGTAAAAGTTTGTGTCGAGGGATCCGTAACCCTAACCCCATGTCTGCCGTGTCCTACGGACAGGTTGTCGGCGATACTCCTAGGACGGATGTGGGAGCGAGGGGTACTCGGTCCCCAAGGGGACTGCCGTAAGGACGCATGTCCAACGTGATGTGATGTGATGTGATGTGATGTGATGTGATGGAAAATCTCTCCCGTGACAAAGATGGCCACGATGCCGATACCATCAATGACGACGGCTATGATGACATCCTTGACAACGACAACAACAACGACAGCAACAGTAACGAACAACGGCAAAGAACCACCATTCGCCAAGATAATACTCACCTCCATCCCCGACGGGCCCTGCGGCTTATAGCCGGGAACTACTTCGTCCTTGGTGGCCACCTCGAATCTCTCCACCATCTCGACATACTTCTCGGGCATCGCTTCTGCCAGGTTCGCCTGGTGGTAGCATACGGCGATCGACAACATCGACAACATTTACAGGGGGTTCCAGAGTAAGGAGGTCTTTTTCTTGTGGTATCTTCTTTCTCTTCAAGGGAAGGGGGTCTGCCTTGACCATAAAGATATGTACATGTGTTCTGGTGGTACGCACTAGGGAAGACGCACGTTGCATTGCGAGAGGTGGAGAGCGGACGGATCCAGCAACCACCATCACCGCCAAAAGCGCCGTCCGTGTTCGGCATTTCACCCCACCGCGGCTTGTCGAACATCCCACAGGAACAGTACTGTATCATCTCCGGGGATGCTCTCGCCGCAGTGCGCATTGCCTGTGCCACCAGCAGCCTACGACGACAACTTGTTTTTTTTAAGCGGCTTGCTCCGAAACCGACGCGGGGAAACATTGAGATGCGAAGCTACTATGAAAGTTATGTCATGCTGTCATGCAGCATGCAATAGATGCAAGAGAACAGGCCGTGCACACAGCTAGCTAGCTAGCTAGCTGGTGTGCTAGCTCACGCACCGTCTCTAAAGGGTCCGTTTCGATGTGGAACAAAAAGTCGAACGTTATGCCGTCGCACTGGGTGGTGCATGAGTCGCACGCGTCGTTCGAGTCGCACTCCACCGTGTGCGGATTCGGGTAGTCCCCCTTTGTGGTCTCCCAGAGGGCACAGCTGCGTTGAAGAGGACAACAGCACACAACAAGCAAGGAGAGACAGAAATTCGTTCCAGTTGAGCTTTCAGCATGCAAAATTAGTACATGCCAACTCTGCTCGGAAAAATGCAAGTCATTCGGATACAAACCTGACCACGTGATGTTGCATGGATGATGTGTTTCCAAACAATGTGGAATCAGTACGAAACCAGGCGTGGCGTCGCTCTCGGATACAGATTCGGTGTGTCACCGAAAAATCAATGCGTGGACCAACGGCCTTGTTTCCCACGGGTTTGACTCCAACCCTCTGTCTAGACGCGCGAGATGAGCGCAGAACTTCACTAAGTACGTGTTGTGGTTTTAAGGCTAACGAATGGGCCACTTCCGGCACTCGTGCTCTGACTCTTGCCTACAATATGTCCTTATTCTACAAGGGTAACTCTCGACAACCTACAGCGGTAGCTCGCATCGCTTTCAACACGCGAGGGCGGGCGAGAAAGCGCCCATGGTGGGGACTACATGTCGCAGCTTAAACGAAGTTCCAAACACCTGAAAACTGTTGTTGTTGTTGTTGTTGTCTTCGCCATGAAAACCGTTTCGGTCCCCTCATCATGTGTGCACAGTACTACTGGTGTTCCAACTCGCTCGGACGCCTTTCGTGGCCGCAGGTCAACTACCCAAAAAAGATGTACATACCACACCATTGTACAAGTCCAATAACGAAAAATGAACCCAGAGAAAAATCCGAATCGTACACGGAAGGGTCCGTGAACAACAAAAGACAGCAACAACAATACCGTCTCCTATATAAGTACTTATCAATTCATCATTGTTACACGCGAAGTGCGTTCGTTCACTTTGACCTTTGTCGTAGAATCAGCTTCCAGCCGTCGTGGATGAAGGCCCCCTTTGGAAGGGGCTCTTTCACCATCTCCCCGGCGTCGGAGTCGAAGTCGTAGCTGGTGCGCCCCAAAACCAGCTCCGTGCGAACGGGTCCTTCCTCTGCAGATCTCCTGCCCACGATCGCGTCCCATTGGTCAAACCCGCTCAGCTGCTTTCCCATCCCATCCTGCCAAAGGGTATGTAGGAAGCACACGGTCGAACCGCGCGTCCGGCGTGGCCGGATATCGTAGAGAGAGAAATATGTTGCTTGGCACAGATAGAGGGGTCACGTTCTTTTCGTGCCTAGAGAATTACGGTCAGAAAAAATATCGAAATAGAGGGTGATTTAGGTCTTGATAGCCTGACGTTAGACGGCAGCAGCAACAAGTAACAAATCGCATTCCTCACATACACTTACCAGGGGAAGCTCCGGCACAACGCTGCCCAGCGTCGGAGTCCAGTCCATGGAGTGCATCATCCCAGAGTACCTGGTGCCCCTCGCCTGCGGTCGAACGGCGCATGTGCCGGGGGGGGGGAGGGTGGTCTGCACACGCATGATGTTCCCTTTTGCAAGGCGCTTGCCGTGTCGAATCACTTCCTTCCCGTAAACAGGCGATCTTCTGGCAAGGGGGGGNGGGGGGGGGGGGGGGGGGGGGGGGGGGGGGGGGGGGGGGGGGATGAGGCTCACACCTCCGAGGGATGTAGCTATACTCACACGCCGTCCATGCCGTCGACGTTAGACCATCGACCTCGTTTCAAATATGTCCGGGGGGGGGTACACAATCGTCATCCTCAACATCCTGTCCAACGTCCAACGTGTCAATTGACTGGATAAGAGGGACAGAACGCCGGATAGATTGCCAGACAGACAAGTCAGACAGACGGACAGACAGACAGACAGACTGAGAGCTAAGACAGGCGCAAATACAGAGAGCACGGCAGACAGAGAGAGGGATCAACGGGGTCAGAACGCGATACACAACGCCAGCACACCAGCGTGTTCGCCACCAACGCACCGCCAAGCAAAGAGCAAACGCACCACCGCCAGCATGACACGCCACAATCAACCCACGCCAAAAAGAAAGGCACACGCACACACGAAACGGGCACAGTGCGGACTGACCTCCTCCGGAATCAAGTCCGCCGACTTGGAGTAGACGAACCCCGGTACACGGACCCCCCCCTGGAATGTGGTGTGCTTGAACCCCCTCAACGGGTAGTTGGATCCCCCACTGGACGGGCAAGCACCGTTGTCGCTCGCGAACACGATGACGGCGTTGTCGAGCACTCCGAGGGCATCGAGCGCTTCGTGAAGCCTGCGAACCTGAGGGGTTGGCAGTTGGTGGCGAAAGGAAAACAGAACCCACTGCGATCAATCAACAAAATTCAGATGTATCTTCCAATCCACGCTTTCGTTGACCCGAGAGGGTTTTCATCTAGACATGAGGAACAAGAACGCTAGCGCCGACGTATTGCACCTCACCTCCTTGTCGAGGTAGTAGACGATGCTGGCGAAAGCGCGGCGCTCGCGGTGGCTGTAATCAAGCCCTTCCAGTAGCTCCACCTCCTCGTCAGTGAACGAGCCTGGCGGGGGAGCGTCCAACGGTTCGTGCACCGCCTGTGGTCGTTTCGAGATTGGAAAGTGGCGAGCGGATACGTCCGTGTGGTAGTGCAGGCGGGTTGTGAACATGTCCGACCGGGGGGGCGATCATTCAGTGGCATGTGAGCCGCCGCCTGTGGAATGTGGTTTTTGGTTCTGGAAACGTCAACGTTGCGCGAGCCCACGTGATGTCTCGCGTGATTTGACAAGTATGGTGCGATGTGTGCACCCCAGGAGCCCGTCGAGTTTCTTGCTGCCGGAGGGGGACGGGGAGGTATCAATACCTACTGACCGGAGTAAGCACGACTTGATGCTCCCATGAATGGTTCGTGGTCTGTGACGTCACTGACGAGACGCTGAATGCCTCAGTGAGTCTCCCTCAAAAACGTTGGAGGGCATCAGAATCCTGGGGTCGTCAAGGCCCCAGAAAATGACTACTGCGGTACTTGGTCACCGTTCGTATTTCTCGCTTGGTTGACCGGACACGAATAGTTTAATGGCCACACGTTTGTTCTCATTCCATACTCCGACTGTTCGCAACGAACGGGATGCTCCAAGTGCCACGCTACACGCTACGCTCCGGTCGGTGTTAGTTTCCCCGCACCACAAGCCCCGACACCACATCGTGGTACTCAGCCCCACGTCAAGCACAACAGAAAACACCAGCGCACCATTCGACGACGTGCAGCAGATCGCTGGCGAAAGCGATTGCACCGCTGACGCGCTTCCGATACATGCGGCACGAAGGTGCAGGAGCACGATTCGAAAATACAGCAGTGGTACATAACCTGATTCCAACTCTCACTCACCTGGTGAGACACGTACAGAAATAGCGGGTCGGAGGGAGATTTTTCCACGTGCTCTGTGGCGACCTCGATGGCTCGATCGGTGATGACCGTCGTGCTGTACTTGCCCGTCATTTCGGGGCCCTGCAGATGAGATTACCAGCGGTGGGAAATGTCAGATCGCGCATAAGAGGGAAAAGTACATCCCCGGCGCCGTGCCCCCCCCCCCCCCC